TCCGTATCAATATAGGGCTGTGTCGCTTTTGGTAATATGTAGTTTGTTTAATTCACTGTCTTATAACCTGCGAGAAGGTCGACGTGGCAATCCGAGAGCACAGAATTAGGTTCCATAATAATGAGATCAAAACCGGATCTGCAGGGCGGAGGCAGTTCGTACACTGATTTCGGGCTCCGAAGCAAAGACAATCCGAGAGCATGACAGTACCTTGAAAGGAGGCGGGGGGTGGCGAGCAAGGAAACGACTGGGGGAGGGGGTAACTCGATGGGCAGTACCTTCGTACAAACTTGCAATAGAAAAAAAGTACGATGCCCCAGGATTTGTCGCCAACGGAACTAATCAATGGCGAGCCAGTGAGTCTAATCCATTTCCAACATGGGGCCCGGCGCCACGCGGAGACGACGATAATCCTCTCATTTACCTAGAGCTGACAACCACGGGGAGCGGAATCGCCTCGCTTTCGTCTGCGCCGCTGCAGTCGCAATTACAACACAGCGTCTCCATACTGGCCATCAATCCACCACGACCCAGCTCGAGTGCGACGGTAACGCGTCTTCGTGTTCCCACAAATCATGCGAAACTTGAGCTTGGTTCAGATGCTCGAGTGCTACTGGATTGTGCGAAGATCCCCCCCCCCTGTCACAATTCCGGCAGAGTTTTGCTTTCATGGACAAGTTCGGCAACTGTTTGCTAACTCTAATCTCATCTTTATTTCCTTTGGTGAAGGAGCTGCTTCCGACGGAGACCCTCGTCGGCGCCATGAATCGCCTCTTTCTGGTCTTGTTGTAGATGGTTATTGCGGACGTGGGTGGCTTTTTATTGTTGGGGTAGACTCAAAACTATGGTTAGGGTTTTATGTGACCTTCGAAGTGACTTAAAAGTGAGGTTTGACTTCTGTTGCAAAGTAATATCGACTCCTTCACTGCTGTTTTATGACGTAGATGGGTCATTGGTGGAATTATCCTTAAATGATTAATTTCAATTAGGAAACTTGCATATTTATGGCTGTTTGTTTCGTTTTCCATGCCTTCACTATCTTCATCAAATTTTGTTATTGTTTCCTAAAATGTTTGTGTTTTAATTTAGAACAAACGTTGGTATTGTATGTTATGTATAGAATTATGATTTTTTTAAAATTAAAACATATTGAAACGACACATTGAATGTTAGTGTGTATATATATATATATATATATATATTTGTGTAGTACATCACCATAATACACATAATACACATAATTATTTATGAAATGTTGAAAACATGTGGATGTTTTTACATGATAGATTAACCAAGTAATCTAAAAGTTCTTTGTTACATTCTGAAAAGATGTGGATTCAAATCTCACCATCGTCACAAAAACCATTAGTTGCACCATTATAAAATCTATTAGGTGATGTTTTGCGTGATATAGGACTTAGAACCAGATGAAATATAGAATGCTGATGATAGTTTCTCCCTACATATTAAATTAAAAATTAAAATATTTAATATTTGTAAATACACAATCTAAAACTACATTGAAAATTAAAATCATAATATTTTAAAGTTTCAATTTGGATATTATTTTTATAAGTACAAGTATATTTTAAACTAATTCTTTGAAATATATAATTTTTTTTCAATGAATTTACTCTCTCTCTCTCTCTCTCTCTCTCTCTCTCTCTCTCTGTATATATATATATATATATATACACAATTGTCCTTTGTTACTAATGAATGATAAATGAAAAATTCCAGACTATCCAAAACTTGGATTTGTTTTTTTGTTTTTGTTTTGGTTCATTGCACCCACTTTATCATTTAATATCATTATTTTTTAATTTTTTTTTTTTTCTTCTGAAAATTGATTCCAGTCCCACAATGAAATTCTGATAGATTTGTTGCAGGCGTGGTGAGGGAATTTCAACAAACGTGCAGCAAAAGGAAGGGAACAGAGGTGCGCAACAAGGGGAACGGGGAGTGCGGAATGGCAGAGGAATACACGAGGGGGGATGAAGGAAGGCGGGCGGAAACTGGAGGTGAACTTGACAGGAACGTGGGCCTCCCTGAAGCCGCGGCAAGGAGGAGAAAGGGAGGGTTAGACCGCGGGGCCTAGAATCGAGAACAGAGGGGCCCCTAAGCCGTGCCCGCCTCTTCCTCGTCTGCTTGGGGGGGGGGGATGGCCACCGTCGTCGGGCTCACTCACACTTGTAGTAGCCCCCGGTGCTGTCTGTCTATGGGGAAGGATATCAATCAGGAGTTTTTTTTTTTTTTTTTTTTTTTTTTTTTTGTGGCAAAAATGAAAACTAGAAATTTGCATTATTTTTCTCACTTGGCAACTTTTGGATGAATTTGGTCCATTTGATTCAATCATAGTCTTGAAGCTGTTGCCACATTCTAGTTGTGACATGCTCTATTGGCCATTCCTCTTTGTTGAAAACCATAACATTATATCCCAACCATGACTTTCAAATAGTAGCTCCTCTAAACAATGTCTGGATTAGATTACATTTGTTGAACCACTAGGATAATGGTTTTGTAAATATATAGTGGTGCCATTAAATGTTGTACCATGATGGCAGTTCATAAAGTTTTTGTTGTATTTTATGAATGACAATAAAGCACCATTTTTAGGCTTGAGCAACCTTAAGATAGTACAAGAACTTATGAAGAATGGTTTTTGTAGTCTTTAGGCAAAACAGGCAAGAAATATGAATATTTGAGCTTAGTTTGCTTCGCCATTCATTAATAGCTATCGCCTTGTGATATATATATATATTCCATATGAAAGTTGCTTCTTTTTAGATATATTACTTATGCCAAGTATTCTTTCAATTAAAAGAAAGATTTGGAAAAATCTAATCTTTCTATTTCATGTTATATAGGTCAATATGTTACTTTGAATACCAAGCTGTTCCTTCATCATTTTAGTGGTGACATCTAGAATTATGATGTTTCTTGGTCAATTAAAATTTTCAGGATCAAGAATGAATTCAATCATGGAGCTAAAGTGGAAGAGGGCCTTATATATATATATATATTTTTGTTCCTTTCATTTGTTCTATAACTCATATCTTTTGAAAAATACAATTCAAATTAATATTTCTTCTAGAATTAGATATACTGCCTCTATAGGAGTCAATTATTGTTATCAACTATCACTAACAATCAAGAATTTGAGATAATATTAGTATGATTGAGTTAATATGAAATATATCCTTTAATAATACTTTAGATGATATTTGAATTATACTCAAATATAAACTGATTTTCTTATGTGCTTGGTAGACTGTAATATAGATATGGTTTACTTTGTTCCAAATTTTAGAGCCAAGTTTACTTTTGTATTGGGTTGTCATGCACCATCTTAGATGTGGTGGCCATTGGTTGCCTTTCTCAAGTTAAAAATATGATAGTCTATATATAAAGAAGTTTTAAAGATTTGAATTATCATTTATTGAGTAAAGCTATCGTGGTATCATCTGAATATATTAGACTTAATCTACCTACTCATTTTTTTCTAGTATATATTTGCTATACTATATAGGTATAAGTCTTATGTTTGTATCCAATCTATAGATAATTCTTTAAAAGACTCTTGATTTATTTGATAGATTTTTCAAAACTTCTACAAATACTTATAAAATACTAGAGTATTGACATTAATACTTGATCTATGATGATACGTTTACCAATCGTAGATAGTTTAGTTCTGCTCATGTATTTAAGTTTTTATTTTATTTGATTAATAAAGAATTCATCAATATTTGGTATTGAGAGTATTACACCGAAAAGAGTGCATAGAAGTTTGGCTAAGTTGTCTTCTTCCACCCATTTTCAATTATATATATTTGTCAATGCAAGTGGAGGATCTTTTTTTTCTATCTAGTATGCATCTGATTTAGATTATGAGGCTAGAAGCTCTACTGAATGTATCTAAGATTTTAACTAAGTGTGTCACTTAGTTCTTTTTTGATTGTACTATGAACAAGGTATCATCTATGTATTGTAAGATTAGTTGTTGATTTTTTGTCCATGGTAGATGTATTCCTATAAGTAATCCTTATTTTTGAGCTAGACATATTCTGGCATTCAAGGCCTCTTTTATTATCAAAAAAATATATGAAGCTATTGGACATCCTTAATGTACTTTGCAATTGATTAGAAAGAATGTGGTTACTTGGCCATTAGCATTCATCATTGCTTCAGTGCTTGTGAGTGTGATCTTTATCATATTTAATTTTTTTGATAGAAAGCCCATTCTAATCATGGTTGCAAATAAGAATTGCCAATTGACTCTGTCATATGCTTTGGAAAAGTCTAAATTTTAAGAAAATTAAATTTTATTTGGTTTTCTTGGCCCATGCCAACATCTCATAGGTAAGTAGTATATTATCTAATATATATCTATTAGGTATAAAGGCTCTTTGATTAAAATTGATAACTTCACCTAAAATATCTTGAAGTTGTGTTTGGAGTATTTTAGCATATATTTTGTATGACACATTGAGAAGTATAATGGAGCACCAATTCTCAAGTTGTTTCTTGTTTCTACCCTTTGGTGTTAGAGTTATCAATCCCTTGATAACATTAGAAGGCAATAAACCTCTAGTTAGCTACTCTTTGATCATACTTGAATAATATATCCTAATAACCTCTGAATATTCTAAGAAAAAAAGAAAGAAGAACTGTCTAGAGACATGTTCTTTTGCCATTGTATTTGCTGCTATATGAAGTTCAACTCATTCAATCGGTTTCTTCAACTCCTCGGACATGAGTTGAGTTATAGTATGTGATATAGCTGATAGTATTTCTACTTCTGCTATTAATGTATCCATATTTCTAATATTAGCCTTGTATAGAGGTGAGAAGTATTCCCTGCAAGCAGCTGAAATGGTTGTGTTGCCTACAATATGGGTGCCGTCAAATCCGCATACGGATAACATGGATGGTGGCGTCTCTGTCCACCTCGAACGTGGGTATATCGCCTCTGCTGCCATAGGGAGCATACGAACGAACTGCATTGGCGTATGAGTGCGCCATTTGAGAAAACCTTAACTCGAACCCTTAGTACCTTGTCTAGTGCTAGATTATTGTTTGGTATCCAGCCGAACAACCACAGAGGGCCACCCTCGAAAAAGCCCTAGCGCAAGGATTCAACAGAGCAAAGTAGTTGATGAATTGATCGCGCCTACAAGAACTATACAACCGCGACTAGCCGCCTGTATTGCAAGCAGAAATCACCATTGTTTCCTGGACAGATTCATCTACCGGAAAACGCGGAGAGTTCCGCCTATCCCCGATGCGAATTCCCACGAGAGGCTATTTGAAGTCACAACTATCTTTCTGTGCTTATTACGTACATCCCACCCTCACCAAATCCTACCTGCCTTCCTTCCTGCTTGAGGGAGCAGCCCAGCTTGAGACCAGATCCTACCTTCCCCTGCTGCTGCCGCTTGCGCACCAGGTGGTAAGTAAGTACATCCCCCTTCCCTTCCCCCTTGCAGACTGACGCTTTCGCGGTGTTATTCTGGCCTTGTCGCGGAAGTGTTTGTGTTCCTTGAGGCTTTAGATTCTGTCTTGGGTTCCAGACTACTTGGTGGAGGCTTGCTGCATGCAGGTGGGTAGCTTAACTAGGTGAGAGAGAAGCTTACAAGCAGGTTGTTGTGGGCCGGCGAGCTCATGGGATGGGGGGTGGGGGGAAAGATTTACGGAGCCTTGCGTTGGGTTCTGGAGAATAAAACTTAAGTGGGAGATTTAGTGGTGTTACATTGGGTTTGGATGACTTGAGAGTATATTTATGGAGGGTGGTGCGAAGGACCTCTGTGGTTGCGACGGAGTGAAGTGCGCAAACTTGAACGATTATGTTCTTTTGTTGATTGGAATAGGAAAGCGACAAGAGGTTCACTAGTGACCATGTGGAATCTTACGAGTTTAGAGATTCTCTTGTGAAAGAGGGAGCTCACGTAAGCCTAGATGTGTTCTTGGGTTAGTGGGTGTTGTTGCAGTACTGACAGGGTTCATTTTTTAGTGTGTGGTTTCTTCAGACGGCAGTTGTTGAAGCTATTCTGAGCGCGAAAAAGGTATTTGCGAGACAGACTTCGAGGGCATGGGGAGGAAACCATGCTGTGAGAAAGCGGGTTTGAAGAGAGGGCCGTGGACGGTCGAAGAGGATCAGAAGCTTGTTTCTTACATCACCAATAATGGCTTGGGATGTTGGCGAGCTACCCCCAAGCTCGCAGGTATACACTAGTATTCTCGAAACCCTGTGTATGTTTTCTCAGTCACTCCGACGCATAGTGTCGAAGGTCGACTTGCTGTTTTTGAGAGCCTTCTTGCTGAATACATTCTTGTTTGTTCGTTTGTTTGTTTGGCAGGATTGTTGCGATGTGGGAAGAGCTGTCGGCTTCGATGGATCAACTACTTGAGGCCCGACCTTAAGCGAGGCATATTCAGTGAGGAGGAAGAGAATCTGATTCTTGACGCACATGCCACTTTAGGCAACAGGTAACCATTCGTTCACTTTCCATTTTGTTATCCTTGTGCGAGTGTTGTATCCAGTGACGGCTGGCCGAAGGACACCAGCACCTTTCAGGCATGCTTGTTACGAACAGATGATTCGAGTAGTACCGAGCTTACGGATCTTGGAGATGCTACTTTGGCCTGCACACTCTGATCATTTCAGTGTCTCTGTGGTAACAGATGGTCTCGAATTGCGGCGCAACTCCCAGGCCGCACTGATAATGAAATCAAGAATTACTGGAACACAAGGTTGAAGAAAAGACTTCGCAGTCAGGGTCTTGATCCCAACACGCATTTGCCTTTGAGAACTGACAGGTCGGACGGCACTGGGGGTGATACTGATGTTGAAGATGGCGATTGTTCCGACGCCACCATGAGTGACGCTACCAAATCCAAGATCAAAGTCAAGAGAAAGGCGAAATTCCAGGAAACTGTAAAGGTCCGACAACCCAAAGGCCCAAAGCCAGCCCCGCAGCTCAAAATGTGTCAGAGCGAGGAAGGGCCAGTGCTTCTCAAGGTGTCCAAGTGTCCTCAGTCATCCACTAGGATCAATCCCAGCCGGGCCCGCAACTTCGATGATGACTCAGAGCACTCTTCCAGCAGCCCCGCCAGCAGCACGATTACCACCAAGTCTGCTGAGGATCATCAAGATTCGAGCAGTTTTGTTAGATCGCTAACCAGCGCGCCTTCTTTTCCTGAAGCAGAACTATGGAATTGCATCAAGCCGAGTACGAATTCCATCACTACAGGCGCTTTATTGAGCGATTGGGACTCTAATCGTGGACTTGACTCCTCTCTTCCTTGTCCTTATCTTCATTCTAACACCGAGCCCCCGAAACTCGAAGAGTGCAAACCATTAGTCACTCCACCTTTGACCCAGGGAGTGTCGCCTTCACATGACACCATGGATATAGGGATGCAGAGAAACATGCATGTCAGTTCACAGCCGTCTTTAGAGGTGGGAGAGAATTACTGTTCAATTTTTCAAGGAACATGCTTTCCTCAACTGGAGATGGACATGTCGTGGACCATGGAAGGAGAGATAAGTCATGCTACTCCAGAGCCCATATTTGCTCTTGCCCCTCCCATCAGTGCTGGTTTGTATGGAGAGGTATTGCCGCCTGCTCCTCGCGACTCGTCGCAGGAGATGCAGAGGTTGGCTGCGCTTTTGGATCTCATTTGATTCTTTGGGAGCTGTATTGAGCATCCTACCCACATCCAGGCCGCTGTCTGGTTCGAGAGTGATTGCGGGCATGCCCCGTCGAGAGAGTGACTTTGTAGATCTTCATCTGCTGAAAGTGATGTAGCTCACGTGTTACTTGCGTGAGAGTGATTTAGCAGGTCTTGATTTACCGAGAGTGATGAGAATCGCAGATCATCTGCTGAGAGTGATGTCAGTTGAAGATGATCCGTTTACCGAGAGTGATTCCTTGATACCGTCAAAATTCCGCCATTAGCTGTATCTGTCCAGATCTCTGCTTGCATGGCATGAAGATTTTCTGGTAGCGTCCGAGAGGCAGTGCAGTAATTAAATGCGGTTTGCAGTTCGAGGGTAAACCACTTTTCGCGGGTCTATCATCTCTCACTTTGCTTATCCTATATTTAATGGCCCTATGCACATGGCGATGGCGACTGAGGTAGACTTGAGCTCCTACAGGGTGTAGTGAAGGTAACATGAAGCACATGTCCGCATGTGAATCACCACTACAGACCTTCCTGTACTTCGAATAACGATCATCTGGATGGCCGACGGAAGTGGCCTGTACTTTCACTGCAAGACAATTTCCAAGTACCCTGGGGACAGGTTTTTGAAGTCAGAAAGCTGTGTATAGAATTTTTTCTCTTTGAAGGGAAACGACGACGTTACGACGGAGTGATACCGTTGATGCGAATGGCGATTACCCTTCTCGTGTTTAGTGAAGAGAAAGGGTCTACAGCCTTTCTTTGTGCAGCAACTCCTGAGAATCCAACCCAAGATGTAATGCCCCAGCTTGCTACTGAGCTTGCGACGAGCGTTCTCTCGGACGTAAATTCAGATTACTTTCTTTTTTGTAGTTATTTTTCTTTATTGGTACCTCTGATGTAGACCCTTTTTGCAGTTCCTTTTGTTGGGCTCTCAGTTTGGATACCATTGCATTGGTTAAAACAGACGGGATAGCTTTTTAAGCAAAACATCAAAGAACTTGAAAGTTTTTACACTGGGATATATCAGCTTCATGCCATCATTTGGTATCGCATCCGTCAAGCTCTTGATGGAGGGTCGTCTACACCTCTTTGAATGTTGCAATACAGACCTATCTGTGTCTAGCATGAATTTGTACTAATGTTATCTAAATTCCTTTCTAATGTTACCAAATGTCACTAGTCTCGCCACTACATGATACAATTTCGACGACTTTATTTCACTAGTTTCTCTGCTTGATTTAGAAACAATGCATATTTTTCTTTTGTAGTTACAGGCTAGAGCTACTATCAATGCAGCTGAGAAATCATGTGAACCAGTTCCAAAGCTATCGTGGGCTAAGCTGTCAAGAACATGTGCAGATTGTCATGCGTTGTGCGGTAGGTTCCTTCGTTATCTTTGCACCTGTCGCACGGCCGTAACAATTTCAATTTACGGAAGGGTTTCTCAAGAATTTTTTTTTCAAAATGTGCAATTCTTATAATTCTTTTTTATATTTTATATTTTATGCATAAGGATATGTACTATACCATAGATAGATGACGAGCTGCCCGATTTACACTCACCTGATATGAAAAACTGTTTCCTTTCCCAATTTAGCAGAGTCGCTATTCCAAATAACTAATTTTTTTCCTTAACTGATCCGTTTCCCAGTCAATATTTACAAAATGTCGGCAAGATCGGTAGCATATCGAGGGTCGGTATATAGATAATGGGAGGCAGTTTTGCGCTTGTACTTTCTGGGCGTATCTGTTTCTCTTCGCTTTGTTGTCTCTGATCCAAAACATACACATTTATTTTGAATAGCGTCAATCTCCGACATCCCGACCCAGGTCTATCGAACACGGAGCAGTAACATTATGAAAGAAATCTCTTGCTATAGAAAATAAACCTCAGAACCTATAACAGCTCACAACGGATACGAAACCCCAACCCAAATCGGCAAACCCATTTACAAAATGCTCAAGAGTACAACTCCTGAGCAGAAAGCCCAACCTATCGAGACTATCCTAACTTTGTCGAGCCGCCACCTTCCAGACATTTGCCAAAATATCATGGCAACAACGTTTTTGGCAAGTAGGTCACTTGAGTAAAATAAAAGTGGATGCCCTCCTTGAGCTACGCTCGACTTCTCTGTACCTCTGTTCCCATGTTGCTCGGGAAAGTGCTGCCCAACAATTTTTTGATCACTCTATAAAGTGGACGAAGATAAGAACTGAAAATGACGGTACAACATCGCCCAAGAGCTAAATATCATATTCCAGTGCTTGAAGTTTTGTACACAAGTCAGAAAAGACTTTATAGAGTTAATGAAAAAACTTGGAAAACCACTGACACGGCTCACGGGCCTTGGTCAGCTTCAAGTGAAACCATCTCAGCCTCACCCGAATTATCTAGTCTTGTAAATCCAGATGTCCACCACCGATATTTCTCCGGCCAGATCCTGCCAGTGCACGACAGTTTGTGAGACAAATCAACGAATAACACGTCCGTAGGAAAGCACATAAGATTGTTAAATTCCATTTCTTTTGTTACAATCGCCAACTATCATTATCAAGGCTATTCACCAGTCAAAACCTACTATGAAAATCGCTATCCAAAGGCGTCACTGAATTTTTCGTCTCCAACCCAACACTCTCACACATGTCCTGATTTACTCGAGTGATAACCTCAATGGCGTAGAATTAGCCAATCAGTAACTTTTCCGAGCCCGAAAGTGACACCTAGATTGTACACACCACTACACAACCATTGTATGAGCACACGAGACTAAACTGACAAGCAGGATGAGACTCACAAGTCCAATTTCTCTTGTAAAACGCGACGAACTGAGCTGTTGTAGCCATACGCTATGGAATTGAAGAAACCCTGCACATGTACGCTAATATATAAGTTGCTAGTTCATAGAGGAACCGTCTAAGGGTGTAATTCCATAGTAACAATAATAATGCAAGCGAAAAAGTCGTTTGGACATTAACTAAAATGAAGAAAGCATATCCTCGCCAAAATCACTGACCTACTTATTTTCTTAAGACCAAAACCGAACGTCAATGACTAAAAAATAGTATCAAACCATGAAGTGAATTTGATCTAATTGCACATCCTCCATTGAAATTCCTACCTTGCCGTGACGTTTCAATCCCAAATATGGTAGCATTATCAAACAAAAGCAAAAATTATAAAATAAAATAACATAAAATAAATTGCAAGGAACTGTTTATAGTACTTACCATCAAAGAGGCAGAGGCAATATCAAGACAATAGAGCCAAAAGAGAGGATGATGTTGCTCTACAAAACCATATATGCGGTTAATGGTCCCAAAAGTAAAAGAGCCAATGAGTATTAATGGGTAGTATCCATATCGGTTTAAAGCCTGCAAATTTGAAACCACAACATTAGATCGAATTGAGCCTCTTCATGAACTAAATGAAAAATTCTCAAAACTACACACAACTAGAGGTAAGCTCACTCAACACAAACCAACTTTATGTTAGACCTTGTAGACACCCATGAACAAGTAAAATATTATGAAAACATAGATTATCCGCCTTTCCAGGCAGCAGTACTTGCGAATAGCATATGAATGGATGTACTGGACAAGATACCATAAAGTTTGAAGATAGATTTAAGGCTAACGGTACAGTTAAAATTTAGTGTATCACACTAAACCAGCAAAGACTAAATTTTCTGCATGATGTAGTACTATTCATTCCAAAATGATTACATACAACGTCAAGAGTTAAACGCCAAACTTCACAGGTTTAATAACTTCAGAAATTTGGAGTTGAGCAACAAATTACCTTCATATCAACCCTAGTTTGTACTTGTAGCTGTCTGTCGGACAATTCTGTTGCCATCTGAATTAAAACCAACTTGATTATACGTTAAGATAAAATCAGCAATCGGACGAAAAACTTACAAACCCAGAAAATAATTTTGTTGCTTTGCATGAAGCACTGTCATTCCACACTTCCGGGGGTGTTAATTAAATAAAAGTTCTAATATTGCTCTCTTCATTAAGTGAATCCTTGGTGTTTAGAACAATTTTTAGTCAACCCAGCATAGGTTTTTTGCTCTGAAACTGAAATGTTCAGACGAACGAATTGATGTGTAAATTTTGTCTTCTGTGAAGAAAGCAAAAAGTGTAGGACACAGGGTTAGAGCACATACACTAGTTGCGTTGTTGATAACTCGGATGACTTGAAAGTAAGCAATGCCATTAAAGAGAATGGCTCCCCACAGAGGCAAGTAGAATGTCATGAAGCGAAGCACCTGGTATACAAATGCCACTACCCCTTCCGTAAGGATGGTTTCGCTTATGTCAAAAACTAATTCTACCTAGGTTTCTATGAAGACTCGAACATTGGCTACGATTTGCAACACAATCTTACGATGGAATTAAGTGTAGGCGAGGCTTCACCTTGCCTGCCGCGGTTTCAGATTGAACCCAGCACCAAGCTCCCGCAGGTCCGTAATCGTTCCCAATCAACGGTATGATGGTCATCATTAATGATGTGCCTGCCAATCACAGCAAATCACATTGGAATTATTGACGATCCTACGGAATCCCATTGGCAAAGAGGAACCTTGAGAGGAACCTACAAATAATGAAGAAATTGTTGTGGTTGTCGCACTTGATGGCATTTGGAGTAAGACATTGCATTCAAGTGTCAGAGCTACAACTGTAGAATTACTGCAGAATAGAGAGCAATTGACAGACTAATCATATGGTTGTCTTTCAATGTACAACTTACTTCTACATATTGAATAGCATATTAACATTTAAGACGAGATGGAATCTGAAAAAATAGAGAAATATCTTAATCCTTTCTTAAGATCCTACTAAGCTGCAGAAAGCATGGATTTAATTGTAGACGTAAATGTGATCATCACCTCGCGAGAAAGTCCCAATCGAAAAATCAAAACAGAGAATAAGTTAATACCCCAAACATAGACGTGAAAAATTGCGCCAAATCCCTCGCCATCAGTCTTATGCTTGACGGCTGCGCGATGCAGGGTGAAAGATATGGTCGTCGTCCACAAAAATGATGCAATGGAGAAAAATTGGGAACTGTAACCTTGGGCATAACATAGAAAGCCCTCACCCGGATTTCTGCCAGACAGCACTTTATCTCAATACCATGTTGAATCCTTGAAAAATAAATAAATAACTAAATAAACTGCATGATGTAGATGATTTAAACTCCAAGGCTGTGAAAACAAAATAGGAAGCACGCCTACCCCAACATGTTGAAGAGACTGGCCAGCATGTCCTGCAGCCAGTGAAAAATAGAATCAAGCTCACTCAGCAATGCATCAGAAGAGTAACAAGTTTCAAGTACACAAAATATATCACGACGATGACCATATAGCTTTACTGGTGCAAGCAGGGAGAAATCAAGTGAATCTTACAGATAGTGAAAGGTAGAAAACAAGCTTGAATGCGAACGAGCGCAGGTCCTTGAAGAGGACATAACACATGACAATGAAGAATGTGCCGACAAATGAGAGTGCCGAGGCACATTGGTTTATCACAGTCAGCGCACCAGTCTGCGCGGGCGTTAATCCTTCGATCATTTTGCATCAAGATACGTAGCAGAGGCTTTAAAAACTTCACGCCCGCAAGTATCGAACCAAAATTGCTTCACTCTACTATGAATGGTATTTGTCCCAGAAACGCAGGTCTCGAAGTACACCCTTTTAAATAATCCATCAACCCCCTCACGAGGTATCGATAATGGTCAAGGCGGTCGGATCATTCTAGGGTTTTAAAGACACTGACAATATAGGGAGAAAAAGAAAAACAGCAATAACAACGAAAAATGCTTCAGAATGTACTCAACATGAGCATCCCACAACCAGCAGCGAAATCAATGCACAGTGAAACAAGAATGTGACCTAAAGAGCTCTTAACTGTAGAACTGACGCACATATTACAGCAATTTTTTCGTACGATCAACGCCACTAATCAGCTAACCCCCGAGAGGAATTCTTCAAAAGTAAGCTAGAATGATGAAGTAACAGCATCTTTACTTCAGAACTCCACAGATGAGCCAATTTCCACGAAGGTAGTGCAAGTCAAACTCGGCGCAAACCAAACTGGGGATGGAAATTGAAGACAACAATACCCAATTCACAAACCGCCAAACAAATGAATAACAAAACCTCGAAAGAAGCTCTTACAATAATATCCCTCCCTACTATTCAGGAAACCTCATACTAAACTACCTAATGGCATGAATGTAGCGTAAGCAACCGAACTCAGTTCTGATCTAAACCAACAATTACAAACCACAGGAAACGAGTGCACGTTGCATGAACTAGCGCTACTACTGCTAACACACAACGGAGGAAAATCAACAATTAACAATTAAGAGCCACCAGAGGATTTCACTACAAGCTCGCGCGTATTCCCAAACAGTAAACTCAGGGACCAATCGTGACCAAGAGAATGCGCCATCCAAACTCCACGAGGGATCAAACTAGGCACCAAAAACAACAACAACACCATCTGCAACGTCAACTGCAGATCAAAGACTTCCCAATTACATCACAACACGCTAGAAATGGGATAGAAATGCAGGGCTACACAACGAGATGAACGGAGGAATACGATCGCGATGGCAGCAGAATAAGTTTGTGGGAATCAAAACCCAAGAGCGAATCGAGAGCAATGGTGACCCGGTTGCCAAATTAGCAATGGGAATGTAGCGGGGGGATTGGAATTCGGTGGGCGGAGGGCGATGGATCTGATGTAGGGTTCACGTTTGCGACAAACGATGCACTCACACACACACACTCACATACACACTCACATACACACTCACACACACACACTCACATACACACACATACTAAACCCAGCAAGCAGCTCCTTCACAAGCACTGCGTTTAGTAAGCTTTTCATCGCCTTTTTAAAATCTCGATGAGCTTCTTCTATCGCCTTTTCATCGAGTGCCTTGTTTCATCGCCTTTTTCGTTAAGTTGCCTGCTTTGTCGCCTTTCTTGTCGAGAAGCTTGATTCATCGCCCTTTTTAATCGAGACGATAGTTTTGCCGCCTTTTTTTTTTTTTTTTTTTTTTTTTTTTAAATCGATTTCTTATTTCATCGCATTTTGTATCCAGGTGCTTGTTTCATCCATAACTTCCACTTTCTGTTTATGCGTTAAAATACTAACTTCAAAATTTTTAATTTTTAAACCAAAGATTTCCACTTTATATGCCTTTCAAATGAAAAAAAAGAAAAAGAAGAAGAAACATTTTTTTCTTTTATTATTTTATTATTAGATTTTGGATTTGTAAATATTTTATTTCATAAATAATTAGTTAAATTATACTTTAAATAATAGCTTGTTATGTTTTTTAAAAATCATGACTTTAAAACATAATAATAGAATATAATTAAAAAGTAAATTATTTTACATTAAATTTTTATTGAATTTGAATTTATAAAATTCAATTTCTACTTGTTTTTTTAACCATTAGATGTTATAATTTTAAATAATATATTTTTATTCAGAGTTTATATTAAATCTTCAATAATTTATAAAAAAGCAACATTGATACAAAAAATGATATATTTAAGTAGCAATGAATAAAATAAAACATAGATAATGTAATACAAAAAATACAAATATATATCTATCCATGAAAAAAGTATTAAATCACAAAAAAAAATCCAATATAAATTTATTACACTTAAAAAACAAAAAAATAAAAAAGTATTCTTATTTAAAAATCAAAATAAAAAAAATGCATATGCTTATCTTTTTTGGCTTTTAATTCATAAGTTTATACAACCTATAATATAAAAATTCTACTATATGAAATTATAAAGAGAATATTAATACACATGCATAACATTAATTTCTCATAAGTTGGAAATTGATTTATAAATAATTAATTAATACATATGTATATATTGATACTAAAAAAAAATATATACTTGAAGTATTGATAGAAAGAAACAAGATATAAAAAATCAACTTAACTTTTGATATTTAAGCTTATGCCACATATACACCAACATTACTAAATATAAGAGAAATTAAATAGAAGTAAGTAGAAATAAGTAAATTTAATAGATGCAAGTTTGACTTTCTAAGTATTTTTAGATGATTGGTAGGTTGAAAACTTAGCCAAAAAGTTGGTCACATTTTGTACATGTTACAAATGTTGATTGCTTACTTTATAAGTTGGCTATGTAGCGAACATGTTGAATTTTTTTTTTACAAGTTAGACATATGTCAAATGAATTATGGAATGTTGGTATGTAGCTCTTTAGTTAGATAATATATATGGAGGCAAGAGTGAAGCCTTCCTCACTCTTGTTAATGTTTTTTTAGTGTTCTTATTTTAGTTCAAAAATCTGTAGTCTCTTTATATTTAAAATTTGGTTTTTCAATTTTTATCTTATATTTATCTTTGACTTTTTTTACTTTTATTTTTTGTGTGTAATAAGATTTAAATTTTTTTTTTTTTATTATAGTTTATATCCTTTATAGTCTAACAAAAGTACAAATTTTTCATTCTTGTTTTATTTTAAAAATGAGTGGATTATTTCATTTCTTATTATTTTGCTTAAAAGAAAATAGACTAATTATCTTTAAATATACGTATATATATATATATATATATATATTGACATTTATTTATTTTTTTACAAAGAAACTAGACTATTCTTCTTTGTAGAAGTTTTGATTTGATATTAGAAGTTGCAGATTACCTCTTTTTAATTTGATTTGTAGATTTGTTAATATTGTCTATTATAAAGATAGATATTTGCAATTATTTTATATGTTCACAAACTTATTAATACTTTTAGGACAAAAAAATTATGTATTATTATTATTAACCATGGAAATATTATTTCTATACTTATTGAAGAAGTCAACAATGAAGTCTAATGTTTGTGCTAAGAGATTGTATATTTGAATAAAATAAATAGATCAACCTTAATAGTGAATAAAAAAATCCTCACTACTATAAGTATGAAGAAAAAAAATATTAGTATGTTGAAGAAGTTTTATAGAATAAGATTGGAATTTTAAAGATTTCTAAAATAAGTCAAGTTCTATTTAAGATTATATCCTTCACAATGTCATGACAAACTTATTCTAATTAGATTTATAAGTCCATTTTGTCTTATTTTATTTTATTTTATTTTATCTTTAATAGAAAAATATTTACAATTCTTATATCACTTAAATTCATTCTTAGAAGTGTTTATAGTCACATTTAGAAAAAATAATTGATAAAAGGTAGCAAAATCAAAACTTGTATCTTTACAACAAGAATTATAATCAACTACCATCTATATTATTGAATTTTAAAGATTTGATTGTAATGTAGATTGGAACAATAAAATCCTTATCAATAAAATTTTAAAAAAGATTAAAAAGAATAAATTAAAGATTTATTATTAACAATACCAAAAATAAATTTATTAAAATAATATATATATATATATATATATATATATTTAATTACTATTAAATATTTATAATTTTTCTTTCAAATTATAAGTCTACTTATATGTTTAAGTTGTAACAATAAATTTGAGTAGAATAAAAAAGTTGAAACAACATTTGGAACTTTGAAGTCAACTTTTATTGCAACACTAATCTTATATCACATTGACTTTTCGAAAGTATTTTTTGTAATAGTAGTTGATGCATTGGACTTTGTTTTTGATGTAATATTATAGAAAATTTGAACAAATGACAAACTTCACCCTGTAATTTTTCATTTAATAAAAGTTTTAGCAACCATGATCAATTTAAGATCCATAACAAAGAGTTTTTTATAATTATAGATTCATTTAAAAAATGATGCCATTATCTAGAAGATACTTTTAATCTAGTAATTATTTATAGAGATTATAAGAATCTTAAGTATTTTATGTCAAGATGCATTTTGAATTGTTACAAAACCTATTGAAGCATGTCTTTATTAAGATTTGTATTCAACACCAATTATAAATTAAAAAAATAACAAGGTTTGTTGGATGTCTTTTTCAAAAATTCTTATCTTTTATTAAAAGCAAGAAATGCTACTTTTGATAAAGAAATAAATAACTCTTTTGAAGCCAAAGAAATTTCATCTTTAAATAATAAAATCAACGTAGACTCTTTATTTTCCATGTTTTAATCAAGTTCAATTAAGTATATCTTTAAATCATCTTATACATAATATTATAAAATAAATTATAAATTTCATAATATTTAAAATTTTAAATTTTAGAAGAATCTTTTTTATTTCAAATAATGCTTATATTTTTTAAAAGTGAAGCACAATTACATGTTCTTTAAGCTTCACTTGATTTTTTAGTTACATGATGTTTAAGATATAATAAGACAATAGAATTAACATCAAGAGATATTCGATAGCTTCAAATATGAAAGGCACTTTAAAACTTTGTGCAATCATGTAATATTTGTTTAAGATCAAAAATTTCTTGTCATTAGTCTTATAAACTTCTCTAGTCATTATCTATATCAAAACAACCATGATTATTAGTTTCTATAGATTATATAATCAATCTTATAATTTTAAGTTTTTATGTTTATATACTTGTGATAGTAGATTACTTCATTAAAATGACACATTTTATACTATGTGAAAAAATTATTACATATAAAGAAATAATTGAACTTTTTCTTGATAATATTTATTAATATTATAGACTATCTTAGGATATTATATAAGATAAAAAGACCCAATTTGTATCTAAGTTTTGAAGTTTTATTTTTTTAATATATCAAAAATAAATATAAAATTATATTTGGCCTTCCATCTTTAATCTAATAGACAATCAAAGTGGATATATTATGTTTTAGAATAATATTTGAGATGTAATATTAATTACTATGTCAAAGATAAGAACTTGAAGAATGGAATTAAATAGATGAAATGTATTTCAAAGAAAGATGACATAATAAAAAAAAAAATATGCATATTTAAGAAGAAATTAGAATGGTTATTGCAAAAGATAAGAAAACTATAGATCTTTAAAACTAGAGTAGAAGAAAGAAAAGAATTAATAAGAGTGAAGAAGGCCTCATCCTTGTTTTTACATATACTATTTAACTAGGAGCTATGTGGTGACATTTTACAAAGCCTTCAACATCTATGCAACTTACAAAATACATAACTAATTTGCAAGGCAAGTTTCCTATATGTATACCATGTGGCTAACTTAAACTATAGGTGGCCAACATATGCAATACATGGCCAAATTTTTTTTTCAAGTTTTCAATCTAACAATCACCTATAGACATGTATAAACTTGATATTTTTATTTTTAAAAGTTGATAATTTTGACGGAATAGATTTTATTAATTATTTATCAAAATTATATGCTATAATAAAGACACAATTAAAGAAAATTCAAGAACAAAAAAAAATCAATGTAGATATCTATTGCAAAAAATAACAATAATTTTATATTGGAAATAAGATACAATTACTTTGTTATAACATCAAGACTATTTATCATTGTGAGAAGTTTGATTACCATAGACTTAGACTATTTCTTATTGTAAGCAAATTAATTCAATTGCAAATTAATTATACTTATTAGAATTTATAAAGATTGTCAAGAACAATATGTTCTTTTTTAAATAGATATAATGTATTTAGTATCATAACATTATAAGAAAATTTTAATATTTGGTAATATTATCAAAGACATGCATGACTCTCATTAGTATTTCAATTGTTTTATTTTAAAGAAGTTATGAAGTTCTTAACAATTCTTAAATAACAAGGTGGTCTTTTTGCCTTACTTTGTAAAACTATCAATGGTTGAGGGGACCTATCAACTACCTTTAAAAGAAGCAAAGTTCATAATATGTGACTAATACAATTTT